ATCTCCTTGGGGGCTATCTGAGCCTGCTTCAGACCTCAAAATAAGATGCTGTTAGAATCCAGTTCTGAAACAGAGCTACAGTAGTGGCCAAAATTGTGGAAACCTTTTGGGAAAAGTGTATTTTTGAGGTTTGATGGCTACTAACACCCCCTTTTTTTGGAGCAGTACCATAAAATTATATATCAATGGAAAGATAATTTAATCAAGAACGTAATGCAACAGTTTGTTTAATTATCTGTGCTGTATTCTATGAAAAGCTATAGCCAAATAACCAGAAAAAGGAAGCACAATTTGCTTAAGGTTGATCTCAGGTAGCTTTCCTTCATCCGATTGTAGCCAATGAGCGTGAGTCTTTAGAGAGCCAATCAGGTGTCATCTTGCTTTGGCCATGAGCCAATCAGATCACAGTAGGATCCAGTGATTGATGTCCTGTATTGAAGCTGAGAGGAGGACATTGGTCAGTGTGTTATGTGATGGCTATCAAGTTGGTTGGGGTTTTTTGTGTTCTTTCACCTAGTGAGCTTGTAAAACGTAATAAAATCGAAGTAATGGTGCAAAGAGTTGATTGGTCGCCCAGAAAGCGATGCAAAATAGTATTAATAAGCGAACAAGGCTACAGTTATAAAGGAATTAGAAGAAAAATGGGTGGAAACTTAACCAAAGGTGGCATTTCTACTGTACACTTTTCCCAAAAGATTTCCACAATTTTGGCCGCTACTGTACTTGTCATCCAGAATGACCCAACAAGGAGAGAGATTTTTGTTGGCAACACGGTCAGCCTGATAGACTAAACCAGTTCAGACTGTAAGACGGTCGCTGAAAAAAAAAACATCTTGGCAAAAAAATAAAATTTCCACGATACTATAATTCAGGTTCCCAGGCCAAGAATTAGTACAGCCTTCCAGACTTCCCCATTCATACGGTAGGAAACGGATATCTTTGGAATGACGTAAGTGTTTTGTTTTATTTCAGAAGTAAACTGAAAGGGAACTAAATCTGAGAAAAAAAGGATGACTCGCGCCAGATTAGGCTGAATGAAAAAAAGGGTGACACACTCTGTGTAATAATGATAAGGAAAAAGAAAAGAAAAAAAAAATTACGTGCTTATATTTGGTTTGGCAGGCCCCAGATTTTTTTTATTATTATTATTTTTTACTCTGGCGTGCCAGGCATCCCATCAAATCCAAGAGTAATTCAGCAAGCTGCAGGATTTGGCAAACTGAAAATTAGGCCCCAGGATTTTTTTTTTTTTAAAAGTGCAAAGGTGTCATATAAACAAGGTGTAATGTCCTCCATTTTACTTTGTATGTACAGGTAGTCCTCGATTTATAACTGTCAAGACTGACTCGCTCTTCCACCTACATCCCGTTTCGCTTGCAGCTTGACCAAGGAAAGGGATAGTAGATGTTAAGAGAAAAAAGAGAAGAAGTATTCAATGTTGAAATAAGAGAAATTTGGGTTACTAAATTTGAGATGTTTGGAAATGACCAGAAAATAAGAATATTATATTGTATTATTAATTAGTTGGTATAAGATGGTGAGAATTGAGATAGATCAGACCTGTATCCTGAACATTAGATCTTGTGACGAATGGTGATAAAGGGAATTGGGATTCTTTAAAACTTGGAAATTATAAATATTAAACGTTAAATTTAAATATGAATGGGAAACTAAAAATTGGGAAAAACTAACCAGGACATTGATTGTCTAAAAAGATTGAATGTTAAGACAACTAGGATATGTATAAATTAAAAATTATTGATAAATGTAAGAAAGTTATTTTTATTTCATCGATATCATAAGAATTGTATTAATTTAAATATGAGACAATAAATACCAAGGGGAAAAGAGAGGAAATATTTAATGTATTAGTTTGAGGCCTGTACTAAAGATATTGTCAAGTCTGCTAACATTGGATATTATTGCTCGACATATGTGAAGAAGCAAACATATCTTATTTAGCCTACATATCGCTTCAAGAGCAAAAGCAGGCATTGCGGGCCATATGAGGGGGGAGGAATGCCTGTGAATAATAACATTATCTTAGCATAGCACAG